ACCACCATCTAGGGGTCTATCCACGGTCACTCTCTGCTACCCTGTGTCAGGTCCCCACTGACATCTTGCTTAGAGAGTCCAAGAACACTGCCAGAGCTGGGGCTTTCATTGTTTTTGGAACACAGGAAGCCTCCTTTGGTAGAGAGGGACAGAGCAACTGTTGGTGTCCCACTGACCTCATATGCAGCTTTGACACATAAGTACGCAGGCCACCATCTGGCTTGGCACAGGGTAGGTGCAAGGTCACCGTCAGCCTGGCTGAACCTCACTGGCTGGGGAAGTAGGGGCTGCTTTGTGGGGGCTGGGGATTGGGGCTTGGGGTACCACTTCTCTATTCATCTTCCAAGTCCCATCTTGACCCTCCTTCTCAGGAAAACCCTTAAAGTTCTCTTTAATTCACAGTCCTATCTCCTTCCTTTCCCTTTTATTTTCACTGGTATTGCTTTGCTGGTTTAATTTCTACGTCCCTGCTGGCCTATCCATCTGCTCTGGGAATAGAGGAATCACGGATTTGCTCTTCACTCTATCTCCGGTGCTTAGCATCATGGTGTTGAAACTGAAAACTGACAAACGCTTTCACTTCTTAACTTCTACTACCTCTCCCTCCCCCCCGCCCCCGAATTACCTTTTACCTTTGAGGCTGTGACTAAGAAGGAAAGGGCCAATGACCTTGATCCCCTCTGACTAGCCCTTAAGTAAGAGCTGTGTTGTAAGAGACAGAGGCCGTTGCATGTGGCACTTGGCTGGAGTGATGTACACCTGGCCTTTGAGATCCTCATGTAGCTGGAGTGTTAGCAGGGGCCCTGACATCCTTGGAGAGTCAAATAAAATTGGTTGATATGTCCATTCCTTGCATAACAAGGCCCCAGCCAACTGCTCAATCTCAGTGGGGATTCTTGAGCATTAGATATTTGCAGGCCTCCTGCATTCAACTTTCCTGCTTCCTGGCTCTCTGCCACCTTTGGTTTTTTGAGGAGGTCTGATCTCACAGCTGACCCATAATCCACCCAGAGTTTCCGCTCCCTTACCTCATTTATTCTAAATAGCAGCCATCCAAATCCATTCAGTTTCATATATCTTATTAAAGACTCAGCATCTGTGTGTGGGAGTGAGGGATTGCATAGATAATAGCACGGCAGATTAAATTGGCTATTTGACATCATCAGTCTTAAAGTTCTCTGGGCCCCCTGTTCCTGGGTCCCAACTCAAACTGGAGAATGTGCCCTCTCTTCTCCATTGGCTGCGGACCCAGTTCACAGCCCTCTTGCCTAGCTCTCCAACCTCCTCGTGTCCACCCTGGCTCACCTCTTCACCTTCCCATCTCATTTTCTTTTAGCTACAAAAGGTGATCCTTTCTAAAAATGATTTTATTTTTAGAGACATTTTCCAAGTTTCTTGAAGTGTATCTGAAGTACACTAATTTGCACATGTTTTCAATATGGAACTGTATCAGTTTCGACATACGTACATCGTGAAACAGCCATGTCTCAAACAAAATTTCCACTGCCCCTCCTTGAAAGTCTCTTTGTGCCCTTTTGAATCTATTCCTCCTTCCATCCCATCCCCTACCAACCACCGCCACTGATACACTCTCTACAGATATTACTTTGTGTGTTCTAGTGCTTCCCATGTATGGCTCATGCAGTGTGCTATGGTTTATATCTCAATGTCCCCTAAAGCCTCATGCAATCGTAGGGGTTAGTTTACAGCTAAGTGCTATAAACTGCTTCTGGGGGTGAGGTCTGTTTGAAAAAAGTGGTCCTTGGGGTCATGACCTGGAAGAGTGTGTCTTCTTCCCCAGCTCCTCCTTTCTCTGTTTCCCTGCCGCCATGACCTGAGCAGCCCGTATTCCACCACGGCCCTCTGCCATGTCTGCTTGACTTGGAGCAGGATGGCTCTGCACTGAAAACATGAGCCAAGGGAAACCTCTCCTCCTTTAAGTTGTGAGTCCCTGGGGTATTGTGTCCCAGTGACAAGAAAGTGTCTAAGACAAGTGTCTTCTCTCTTTTTGCCTGGCTTCTTTCCCTCAGTATGTGGTTTTGAGACTCTTTGATGGTGGTGTTTGTATTAGTTTTTCTTTATAATTGAACAACATTTGACTGTATTTTTATACTCCAATTTGTTTATTCATTTGTTTACTGTATTAATCTGTTTACTGTTACTACAATGAAATACCTGAGGCTGGGTACTTATAAAGAAAGAGGTTCATTGAGCTCACTGTTCTGGAAGCTTAAGGGCATGGTGTCAGCCCTATACTCACTTCTGGTGAAGGCCTCATGGGGGACCATATCACAATGACAAGAGAGGAGGACACAGGATCATGAGATGAGGAACCACAGCAAGAGAAGCCAGTCTTGTTCTTTTTATAACAACTCTTTTGGAATCTTACGAAAGGTCCTACAGAATGACCATGATCCGTCTGAAGGCAGTGCTCCAGAGACTGCCCACCAGGCCAACCTCTGAAGGTCCACTGGCTCCCAACATCACCACACTGAGGTCTAAGTTCCCAACACGAGTCCCTGGGGACAAACTCAGACCATATCCAACCACAGCATTACTGATGGATCTGAGGTCTTTGATTTTTGACTATAACAAATCAAATACCTATGAACAATCACATGTAAAAGACTTTGGGTTTCATGCTTTCTTTTTCTATGGTACTGGGAATCGAACCCAGCGCCTCTGCATGGAGCTATATCCCCGACTCTTTTTATTTATTTACTTATTTATTTATTTTGAGATGTGGTCTCCCTAAATCCTTAGGTTGCATAGGCTGGGCTGGAACTTGTGATCCTCCTGCCTCAGCCTCCCAGAGTGCTGGGATTACAGCTGTGCACCACCACAGCAGGCTTCATGCTTTCCTTTCTCTTAAATAAAAGCTATAAGTGGAATGGTTGTTATATGGTATGTGTACATTTAACTTTAAGAAACCACCACACTGATTTCCAAAGTGGTTGTACCAGCTTATATTCCCACCAGCAACTTAGGAAAGTTTCATTTGCTCTTATGCTCTATGTGCTCATCAATATTTGATAAGATGAGTCATTTTAAAGTTGTGGGTGTGTGTGAGAGTGTGTGCGTGCATGCGCCTATGGATGTGTATTTGACACACTGCTGCTTAGCTACCTCCTGGCCCTCCTGGCTTCATTTCTTGCTTTCTCTGTACTTTTCTCTTTTGGCTTCATTTCTAACAAGGAGAACATATGCGTAGGTTTATGGAGAATAAAATCAGATTATTTCTGTTGTTCCAGTAAATTATTAATAGTTTCCGTCTTAATCTCCAGTCCCCTGGTTTAGGTACAGATATGGTTTCTCTGCTCCTAGCCCACGTGGCCATGCCCCGGGCTGTTCTTTCGCAGCACACCACCCACATTCGGCCCAACAAGGATTATTTTAGTTTCCCTGCTTTTCTTAAACTTTTTCTTTTTTTCCAGACCACAGCAGGATTTCAGGGAGTGGAGTGAGGAAGCCTAGAGCGAGTGTGGGAGTGGTCTGGTGGGGCCAGAGCTATGCATTCTTGTTGTCAAGTGAGAATACCTTGCCTGAATAGGAAGCCAACAGTCAGGTGGACCCTGGCTTAGGGAGCGAGGCCATGCCTGAGGACCTCTTTGGAGCTGCCTGCTGCCACGCTTGCTCCTTAACTTTCCCCCAGGGATCCAGGAAATGCCTCTTTTATGTCACAGCTAGTTTGACCGGCGTTACTGTCGTTGGGAATTATGAGTGTCCTGACTAATATCTGTGGCAGGGAACTGTGCCTCAGGAAGGCAATGGCATTTTGCCAAGCCTAGGTTGTCTGGCATTAGCCGACCCTGAGAGTTGCTGTTTTTGCCAATCTGGCCCCTGGGATTCAGAACAGAGGCACTGGTCACATAATTTGGTTTACTTCTTCGTAAGTCTCTAAATGCCCGGGGTCAAAGTATTCAAAGGCATGACTGCAGGGTTTGTTTAATTGAATACTCTTGCTCCAGGTATCCATTCCAATGTGGCAGGCTCTTTAATCTTTAACTAAATTATCATTTTGCAACGTGATCCAAAAACTGGGGAAGCAGCCTGCATTTCCCACTAGCATTTCTTTCCTTTTAATAATTAGATTTCATACATAGAAAAATATGTCTTTATCGACTCAGAATACTACGTGAGCAGCCCTACCCAAGATCTATGTGAACCCCCGAGGAGTGCGAGCCTCCCTGGAACCCCGGAGGTCCTGGCATTGCAGATGACGAAGCCCCTCGAAAAGGGGTGCCTTGGCCTTCGTCCTCGCAACCCTCCCGGACAGAGGAATAGCCTGGCATGCTCGCCCTGGCAAACACAGCACAGCACACCCTCAGCAAAGCCGGGCGGGAGCCCAGACTGCCTGCAGCAGACGCGAGCACGCCGCCCCACCCCCAGGCCTCAGAGCCCCGCCCCAGCCCTCAAAGCTCCGCCCCTCAGTCCCTGGGTCCCTCTCCGCCCCCCAGCCCTCGCGCCCTGGCCCCGCCTCCCAGGCGCCTTGTTCCCGGCCCCACACTCTGCCGTCTGCTCTCTACTCGAGTGGTACAGATATAAACCCCCCTGCCTCCCGCACGCCGGGCCCCGCCCCCACGCGCCTGCACTCCCACTCCACCCCCGCGCGCCTTGGCCCCACCCCGTGCTCCGAGGCTCCACCTCCCGCGCCCCAGAGCCCCGCCCCCGCCCTGACGTTCTCTCCACACCCGCGCGTCCTGGCTCTGTCCCCCCCTCCCCGGCGCTGCTGGGCTCCGCCCCCACGCTCTCGCGCTCCGCCCCACGCTCTAGGCTCGCTCCCCCCGGACACCCTGGCCCCGCCCCGCGCTCCCGGACTGAGCTCCAGCGTCTCGGGAGTCCTGGGAGGCGTGGCCGGGACGGAGGCGTGGCTGCGCGGCGGCAGGGACTCCGGCTGTGACACCGCCGCGAGCAGCAGCCGGGCGCGGGCGTGGGGTCGGGACGCGCTCCCGCGGACCCCTCGCCGGAGTTGGGTATTGGCCCTTTCGCCTGGGTAAGCGCGGCGCGCAGTCTTGGCGTAGCCTGTGCAGCCGCTTTTCCCCTGCCCAGGGAGCAACGCCGGGTCCGTCCCGCGGTCTGGACCGGGACTCGGCCCGCGCCGTCCCCGGGGCGGAGTGGGGCGGACCCTTGGAGCGCCGAGAGGGGGCGCGACCCTGAGCCCCTCACAGGTCAGCCCGGCGGACTAGAGTTTCCAGGGTGCGCCCTCCTCTACGGTGTGGCCAGGAGGGGAAGGCTTACTAAGCGGGGAGGGCTCCCCAGGACCCTGGGGAGACTACGCCAGCTGCTGCGTGTCTGCACTCTCAGCCCACTGCAGCCCTCGCCCTGAGCTCCTGGTCGCAAATTCCGAACTCCAGCACGCACGCGTGGGGAGCGCTGGTGGCAGACGATCCGTTCAAAGGATTCGTGTGTTCCTCTCTTCCCTAGGTGGCCAAGGGAAAGGTGGTTTAGATACTCCAGACATGGGAGAGTTGGTGTTTGTCTGCAGCAACCTCATCAGCCCCTAAGCCCTGCATCTTCCCTTCTGGCCTTGTAAGCTCTTCCAGGCCTCTTTCCTGTGGTGGGGACACCTTCCTGGACCCCAGTCTTAGCCCACCATGGGGAGCACCCTGGGCTGCCACCGCTCCATCCCCAGGGACCCTTCTGACTTGTCCCATAGCCGCAAGTTCAGTGCAGCCTGCAACTTCAGCAACATCCTGGTGAACCAGGAGCGGCTCAACATCAACACGGCCACAGAGGAGGAGCTGATGACCCTGCCCGGGGTGACCCGGGTGGTGGCCCACAGCATTGTGGAGTACAGAGAATACATTGGGGGCTTTAAGAAGGTGGAGGACCTGGCACTGGTCAGCGGCGTGGGTGCCACCAAACTGGAGCAGGTCAAGTTTGAGATCTGTGTGAGCAGCAAGGGCAGCTCTGCGCAGCACTCTCCCAGCTCCCTACGGCGGGACCTGCTGGCTGAGCAGCAGCCTCACCACTTGGTCACCTCCGTGCCCCTCACGCCCCGTGTCAACATCAACACGGCCACCCCTGCCCAGCTCATGAGTGTGCGAGGCCTCACGGAGAAGCTGGCCCTTAGCATCGTGGACTACCGCCGGGAGCACGGCCCCTTCCGCAGCGTAGAGGACCTGGTGAGGATGGATGGCATCAATGCCGCCTTCCTGGACAGGATACGGCACCAGGTGTTTGCTGAGAGGTCCAGGCCCCCATCCACCCAAACCAATGGGGGCCTGACCTTCACCGCCAGGCCTCACCCCAGCCCCACCTCACTGAGCCTGCAGAGTGAGGACTTGGACCTGCCACCAGGGGGGCCTACGCAGATCATCTCCACGAGGCCCTCGGTGGAGGCCTTTGGTGGCACGAGGGATGGCCAGCTGGTGCTGAGGCTGGCCACCTGGAACTTGCAGGGCTGCTCCATGGAGAAGGCCAACAACCCCGGTGTGCGCGAGGTGGTGTGCATGACGCTCTTAGAAAACAGGTGAGTTCAGAGCCACAAAGGGTGTTGGGCAAACATTTTGGTGGCGAATGCAGATTCGTGCTCTCATTTGGGAGCCTGGAGGGGGCAAGAGTATTAAATCCGTGTTCTCGGGGCCTGGGCCAGTACTGTCACCTGGGGCTGGGCTCTCTCTGCTCTGTGATTTTCTGGATACAGCTGTCAGGGCTTGAGGCCCGTATTGTGAGCGTAGTGTGTCTGAGATGGACCTTAGGTTGGCGTAAGTGGAGGTTGTGTTGGTGGCACTGCTTTGGAGGAGGTAGTTAAATTCACAGGACTCCATAGGGTTCACAGAAGCAGGGACTCAGCTTGGGAACTGGCACAGTTTGCACGTGAGAAAGAACTGATCAGATTTTTTTATTAATGGAGGGAAAATCATATTTGTTCCACCAAATACACCTATTTATGTGCACAAAATTATCTGTAAGACCAGGTATTTGCAAACTCATATACCATCTGTGGTTATCAAAATGCTCTGAACAAATTGCTCTTTGCTCTTTTTCCTTATTTAACCTTAAGTTGGGTTTCTGTGTTACTTCTTCTGTCTATTGCCAGAAAAGCCCAAGACCAGCCAGATTTCCCCGCTTGAGTCAAGGGGAGACTGTAGGATAGGCTGTTATCTGAGCATGTTTACATTGTTCACAATACTGTCTCTGTAGGAACTTCCGTTAATTCCCCATAAGACGAAACACTGTCGTGGCAGGAACTCCTGCTGTTGGTAAAACAGTGTGCACTGTAATGCAGTCAGCTTTGGGAAGGAAGGGAGCATTTATATTGTCTCCTTCCAGGTCAGAAGTCTACTGATTCTGGTTTGCAGGGATATTGCCCAGACCCCCACCAGAGGTACTGTAATTGTACTACTCACTGTCATCTTCTGCACTGAGTGGCTGGTGAGGCTGGCTGGGTGACAATTTGGTGACATGAAGTGAGCTCTCAGTGGGAAATCACAGTGCATCGTGGCAGATCATCAGGACAAATGAGCAAGGAGAAAAGCAGGTCACAGCGTTTCCCTGGCACTGTCCCAGTGAGTGACACGCTCTTGTCACTGAGAGAAGGACCGCACACTGGGTCAGAGAACTGGACCAAGGAGCCTGGGAGTGTTCTTGCTGAACTGCTGGCTGTTCTGCTTGTCGACCTAATTCACTCCCTCACAATTGTCTTGTGCACGTGGACACCCTTGTGCCCAGGGACTCAGGCCTGGCCACACTTATCAGAAATAACTTGATTATAGTCCTTATCTACAGCATCAAGGGTGAATGAACGAGAGGAGGAGGGGAGTGAGGAACACAGCTACTTCCTATTAGGAGTTTCTGAAGACTCAGTTTTGGGGTGAAGGGGGCTGAATCAGGATCTGAAGTTGCCCAGTGGAAATAACTGCCCAGGCAGCCCTTGTTCACTTTGTTGGTGTTTTCTCAAGCATGGCCCATCAGCTGCCGATTCAGAAACCCTGGTTCCTGGGTTTAACGCCTCTCTAGGGACTTCAGAGGCACACTGGAGTTTGAGAGCCTTTGCTCTAGGAGTTGAGATCATGGATCCTCCAGGGGGCTCTTGTTAAAACCCCTCACTCTGTGCTGGCTTTTCTGGCAAGGCCAATGACAGTGGTCCAGGTTCTTATCACCCTCTTGGGATGTTCTGATCATGCCTATAGCTCAGTCCCATGACGTTCTTTCTGGTCATGGTCGGAGAGGCTTATTCAGCTTCTAGGACATGTGAACGGGAAGGGTGGAAAATGGGAGGGTGAGAGCCAGGCGAGCTTTCGCATGCCTGTGGTCCCAGCTACCCGAAGCAGCTGGCCTCACTGTGTGCCACCTGGGTAGGACCACTGGAGGCTCATGAGGAGGAGTCCAGTGTGGGTTTGCCCTACTTTTTTTTTTTTCCTATGGGGATTTCCTATAGGAGCAGTGATTTATTGAAGATGTTTCACTGCTGTCCTAAGTGAGACTAGGAAAAGCTCACTCACATTGAGCAGCGTGTAGCACGGGCACCTATAGGGACTGGGAAGGTGACCTCCCTCCATCACTCCCTCACACTTGGCTGTGCGTGTCATTCTGTGGATTGTGGTTCCTCGTACCTGTTCACAGTGCAGTTAGTGGTTGTGAGTGTCTGGCACACATGAAGTAATAGGCTTAGGGCCTGATCCCCCACCGAGCTGGGGTGGGCAGTGCCTCTGCCTGTGTGGCCATCCTAGGGCACCAGAAGCTGCCCCAGAGTGGATCTCAGGTCCTTGGTGACAGGCAGCAGTGCCCATTCTCCAGGAGCTGCGAGCTCATCCTGATTCACACACGTCTCTTACATTCCAGCTCTTCCTTTTATTGGTAGGAGGAAACAATTCAGTGTGAGCAAGAACGGATACAGGTAATTTTCCATGTGCCTCTTATTTCACACATGTATACATAGAATAGAAAAGTTCCCTGACTTCTGGATATGCCTATCACATCCATTTGATGTCCCCCTTACCGCTGGGAAGTAGGTAATAATTGCTTTTTATTAATGATTCTCTGACTCTGGATAAGAAAACTAAAACCGAAGCAGTGCAGTGACTTGTATATGAAACACAGCTCATTAGTGACTCAGCTGGGATGAGGACCTAGACCTTCTGACTTTAGACCTTGTGCATGTTGCAAGCACATTGTGACTGGTAAGTGCAGCATCTCTTTCCTGCCCCTGGGTTAGGCGACCCAGCCCCTGCTGAATCAAGGCCACTTGCCAAATTGTGTGTCAGTTTCTTAGTAAGTCCATTGTAAAGGCATTTTAAAGCAATCCTTAGACAGTTTTGCAAAGGGAATAGCCGGCTCCTAGCTGTCCTTTCTGAAAGTTTGCTTTCCCAGGTGGCTTTTCTTAGGCTAAAGGGTACCAGTGTGGAATGGAAGGCTGGAGTCTCTTCTTGCCCTGAGAGGCCACTGCTTTGGCAGATGGTATGTTTTGCCTGTGAAGCCTGAGGTGGAACAGCACAGAGCTAGGTAATTATAGAGTCACCAGGAGCCCTCAGGGACACCATGTTGGTGGTGCAGAACGGATGGGTTTCATCAGATTTTTTGCCAGACCTCAGTCTTAGGCAATGTTCTTCCTTGTTCAGTATTTGTGGAGCAAGAGGAATACTATTGCTAATTATCCTTGCAAAACATAGTGATAGTGCACTTGTGGAATGAAGACTTACAAACTTTTTTGCCAAATAATTATCCTATTTTGATAAGACCCTTTGGTTACCGAAAGTCTACACCATGAGGGAGCTGACAGATAATCTCTGAAAGAAATAAGGAGATTTAACAACCCACTAGCTCATTTTCCCCACAGCCTATGTTGGGAGGAAACCCCTGTGTCGAAGGTGTTGGCTTTATAATAGCTTAAATCTGATTTCCTGCCACAGCTGCAGTGTCAAAGCACAAGGTGGATTAGTGCTTGGCTATACACCCTGGTTGTGAAGGAAAGAGATGCTAGTTTATCAGACTTGATGAGTGGGATCAATATAGTCACAATCTATCTTGTCATTGGACTTATTCATTGAAAAATGTGTCTGGAATGTCTGCTGGATACATGTTTAAGCTAAAGTCAGTGCAGCCTGGTTACTTTGCAGAATTAAATACACGTGGGTCCATTGGTATGGCTCAGCCTCGAAACAGCTTGGTGAGCCAGGTTTTTGGGGGCTAAGTCACAGAGCATGATGGATATCTGGTTGTATTTTCCCCATATGAATAACAAGTTCATCTGGCCAGCTGAAGGATAGACACAGCCAGGTGTAACACCTGGAAACAAAATACCCAGTAATCCTCTTAAAGTAGAAATGGTGAATTTTGAAACCTGTGGAAACTGAGGCCCAGAGGATTTAATCTCATTGTGTGACCTTTGGAAATGCCAATGGTGGAGTCATTTGAAGCCAGGCATCTGCCTGATTTCATATCTGGGACTGGGCGTGCCTTTTCCCAAATGCAGTGTCCTGCTTCTGACCCAGGCAGGCTGGTGGCCGCCCACTATTTCCTCCATGTGGGGTCCTGGGCTGGCCAGCTGTTAGAGCCCGGGGAAAGGAGGGCTTCATCTAGACCCTGGGGACCACCCCAGGCTCAAGGCCTCTGCTCCCTTCCTGTGTTTGTTCTTCCAGAGGATAGGGCTCATGGCCAGGCATCCAGGGGGTGCCAGGCCCCTTCCACCCGGCCTCAGCCTCAAGTGTGAGTCTGAGACCTTGGGCTCAACTCCAAGGCAGAGTTCCGGCTATCTGAGCCAAGGAGTCCTGGGTCGGTTCCAGAGAGAGAGGTGGGCAGCGATAAGACCGCTGTGGCTTCCCTAGGAGAAGCTGTGGATGAAGGGGAGCCCCGGCAGGCTCCACACCGGGTTCATTTCACTAAACAGAAATGCATTTCATACTTTGGCTTTTCAAGAAAGTTGGGCCCATTTTGGTTCTGATTGTGGGGGTTTGATAGTGTTGGTTCCCCCGGGGGGTATCCATTCCTTACTGTTCATTCATTCATAGAATGCTTTTTGGAGCCTTCTCTAGGTACAAGTTTGTGTGTCTGGCTCCAGGAAGAGCATGGTGAATAGGCCAAGGCTTCCATTCTAGGTGGGAGAAGACGGCCCAGCAAGCAGATGAATGGCTCCAGGTGGGCACGAGTCCTGGCATGATGGAGGGGCATTGAAGAGAAGCCTGCTTGGAAAGGAGGGGCCAGGCAGGATGTGCACAGGCCACCGGTGGTGAGCAGGGCCAGTGTGGACAGGTGCAGCATGTGAGCCCTTCAAGGGTCTGCCCCAGGCCCAAGGCCAAGGCCTGGAGTGCCAGGGACTGGGTACAGAAGGAGGCAGGCCCTGATCTGGGGCCCCCCAGGGCTCTTGTGTAACAGCAGATGGGCCCACGGAGGGATAGAGGCAGAAGCTGGGGAAGTGGGCTCCCTCGTGGAGTTTCTCAAAGTGGCTGGGCACAGGACTCGGGAGCAGGGCCCAGGGAAGTGGGGAGTGGGCACACGAGGGGCCTTCCTAGAGGTGAAACTGCAGACTTG